CTCCTTTATCGTGCCCATCGTTGTGGAGCAAGAGAAGCTGGAAGGTGACTTTCGGTAAGTAGTCCTGGAGTAGTAGCAATGCTGAACGTGCCTGGCTGCCATGGCACGAGTGTTTATATGCAGTGTTTATATGGATCCAGTCACTGCCACATAAAAACAACTGACCTGCCAGAAATATCTGGTGTATATTATTTTTAACAGTGTCTGTAAAACATTAGGAATTTAGAGGCCACATGCCTCGTCCTGCTCTTTTTCTCTCCGAAACTCAACACTTGCAAGCCAGATATGAAAGAAAGAAATATCGCTCACAGCTTCTGTTAAGCATTTCGTGAATTTCACCACGCTATGTTGTGCTCTTGCTTGATCTGCATTGTGCTTGCACCTCACCACCTCCCCGTCTACCTCCCCACGCCACTGCCCCCACTGCGACCGCTTTCTGTGTGCAAGGCCTGATCAATGATCGCAGGAAGAGCAGACGGGTCCAAGGAAAGTTAGAGAGTGGGTTCATCGTGTTGGTCAATTTGTCTTGTTGATAGTCCTGTTACCAGTTCTCCCATATGGTCTAGTGGTTAGGATTCGGCGCTCTCACCGCCGCGGCCCGGGTTCGATTCCCGGTGTGGGAACATTTCTTTTTTTTCCTCTCAAAAATCTCTACAGGTACATGTAGGGGAAAGTGTTTACTTTCCTGTAAAGTATTTTGTTGACAATTGCCTTTTCCGTGATGCAGTTATCACCATGTGCAGCTAAGAACAAGGGCAGAGGCTGTCGCTTTCTGTGGGTGAGTTGAACGCCGATGCCGTGATGTTTGTTAAATTGTGCATGCGTGTGAGTGTGCGTATGTGTTTGTAATCTGTATGTACGCACGCGAAATGGTGCACATGTACGTGTTGGGAGTCTACTGATGTACGTGTACAATTGTACAAGTACATATACTGTTGATTATCTCATCTGGAATCTACTTGCATGGATTTCTGCTGGCACTGCTGAAAAATGGAAGTTACATTTATGGACCCGTGTTCCATGGCAGATGTGCTGTGTGTTGCATACTCGTGTATACACTTCAAACTGCCATCGTAACTACCAGTACATGTACTTCTAGACTGTAGATTACTGTAGCTGTGTGTGGGTGTGTGTTGAACAAGCTGTGAGTGAAGTTAGAGCAGAAGTCATGTGTCCCAGTCAGGACTATTGCGTTTCTCAGTACACACACACACACACGCACACACGCACGCACACGCACACACGCACGCACACGCACACACACGCACGCACACGCTGAGCAGGGCGAAAGAAACTGTATGCTGTGATTCTAATTTTCACGCATGAAGTGATTATCACACAGCATGATGACAGATGATCACTTCGTGCATGAAATCTCGAGCCACAGAAAGTCGGTTTATTCGCCCTTGTCTCTTTCTGTGTCTAACTTACACCCAGGTGTATCGAGCACTCTGTCGAGCTACCACAGCTCGCTTCCAGTGTGTGTTCTAGAATGTCCTGTTACGGAGGCGACCAGTGAGGTGTAGGCGGGTGATTGTGCAGTGAGCGATCATGTGTGGGCGGGTGATTGTGCAGTGAGTGATCATGTGTGGGTGGATGATTGTGCAGTGAGTGATCATGTGTGGGTGGATGATTGTGCAGTGAGTGATCATGCAGGTTTCAAAGTTCAAACACTGGTGTACCTATACACAATGTGTAGTCAAACATTTTCCAGCGTGCCATCCCTACTACGTGTATTACTCAAGATCACCCCCATTATTGTGTAGTAAAGAAAAAGGACCAAGAAACTACAAGTTACGCTATAATGTCCACTAACACGTATCTAATATTGACTGAGTCAATATTAGATTTATCACGACTAACCGAAGCAGGTGTTCAATCGCTAAAAAGGAGTCAAATATAAGCGGTCAATATAGCCCTAAGGAGTGAAATATGCAGGAATATTTGACTGCTTAGGTATAGCAAAAATCTATGGGAGTCAATACTAAGGGAGTAATGACACCAGTTACTAAACAATCAGCTCATGCGTCTTTGCGTTCTTGGTCCTATTTCTTTACTATAAATTTATCCTTGGCTCTCCATCCGAGTCCAGTATTGCTGTGTGTTTGCTTTGTTTTCTAGTGCCGGCGAGTTGGAAGGTCGAAAGCTGCTGTCAACGTACTTGGTAAGCGTGTGTGGTGGCATGATGCCTTCACTTGTGTGTGTGTGTGTGTGTGTGTGTGTGTGTGTGTGTGTGTGTGTGTGTGTGTGTGTATGTGTGTGTCTGTGATACACAGACTTGTACACTGGGGCATTGCGGTGTTGTCACAGCCCTGACAATTGACTGTTTACTTGTAGGGGTCATGCCCGCTGTTCAGCAATGAAGCTAGTGTGAAAGCTATAGCGGTTATGCGAATGACATCATCGTGTATGCTTTGTATGGACTATGGTCTATTGGAGTGGCAAACTCCTGCTCATGATGTCATTCCATAAAACCAGGATAAATGATGATGTCATCGTAGTGTAGCCTCTACCTTCGCGTGATCACTGGCCATCCATATACTGGTACCAGCGAGAGTGCATAAACAAGAGTATGCAACTGTGGCTATGTGTCCGTGCGCAGCGCGCTGCCTTCATTGCGTAACATGCCTCCATCACACTCTGAAGGCATGCAATCAAACCCGCTATTTCCTGTACGAGCACATTCGTTTTTGCTCGATTCGTTACAGTTCCTACAAGTAGTACTTCCTACGCGATCTCTAAAATTTTGACGCGTAAACTCCAGTTCCGTACGGAAGTTTATTTCAAACCAGAGGGAAAGTGCGGTGTTTGTTTTTCCGCAGTGCGCGGACTGCAGCTGATTGATGTCATGAAGGCAGCGCGCCGCGCATCTGGCACATAGAAAAGAGAAGACAGTTGCATACTCTTGTTTATGGACTCTTGATACTGTACTGTACTGTAGTTTTAGCACATGTAGGACCAGTTTGAGATGCACCATTCCACGACAAGTGTGGTGCATGGGTATGGTTTCTTCAGTTCTCCCATATGGTCTAGTGGTTAGGATTCGGCGCTCTCACCGCCGCGGCCCGGGTTCGATTCCCGGTGTGGGAACATTTATTTTTATTTTTTTCCCTTTTTCTGTCAGGCTCATTCTCTCTCCTTTTCCATTTTCACTGTCATCATCCCTTTTTTTTATGGCCTGATCTGCCTTCTCTTTTCCACTTGTTCTTTGTGTGATGAAGAAATTGTACGCGACACAGAAGAAGATAGTCTACCGCAAGTTACTCCTACTCTGTGAGTTGTATTATCCAATTTATCCCTTAGTGTTTATACCTTAAACGGTACTACTCCATGCGTACACTGAAACCTGACTGCCGCTCAAGGAACCTTCAAAACATGGTCTCTGTTACCAGGTGGTCTCCTTAGCCAGGGTCATTTTGACTGGAAATAGCATCCCTTGGTGCTGGTTGCAGTGGTCTTCTAGGACAGGTGGTGGCCTTATCCGAGTGGTCGCCGAGAACGGCATTGCTGTATTTTGATCTATGTGGACGCGGAATTTGTATACAGCTATGGTTGTGAACTGTAAAAGCTGCTTGGCAACAGTACTGTGTCGCCCAGTTGTTTTAGGTGTAATTTGCTCTTTTCCTCTCTCTGGTATTGAGCCAATAATAAAAGTAGAAAGGAAAAGGACATGTGGAAACGAGTTAAGAGTAACTCTCCACCACTGTAACTAGATACTATATACACTCAAGACGTCAAGTCACGTCAAGTCAAGACGTCGAATGTCTCAGTACTCTGTCAGTTTTGTGCCCAGTTGTTGCACTTTCTGACTGTATATATAGTATCTAGTTACAGTGGTGGAGAGTTACTCTTAACTCGTTTCCGTATGTCCTTTTCCTTTCTACTTTTCCTCTCTCGTTTCTCATTGATGGCAACGGTCTTTGGTGGAAACGTGTTGTGCTGGAATGCTAGGCGCATTGCCATGCAGAGCAATGTCATGTGTATGTGTATGGTGGATGACCTCACATCGTACAGGGCAATGCTGTCACTCCACTTTGATGATCACCGGTCAGTTGTGTCATGTACTGATGATCATCGGCCAGTTGTGCATGTAAAAAATATATAAATAAAGAGAGCAAAGTCCTCCGGTTCGATAGAGTGCTCAATGCAGAAGCAGAGCAGTAACAGAGCAGTTGTCTGGAGATTGCCATCTGGCATGGAACTATTTGTTACCACAAACCGGACGCTTGGTACTTTGTGACTCGTGTAAATAAAGAAAGTAAATTATTGTGTCCGTTCCCGAAGAGAACTCACGATGGCCGCTAACACGCGGTAAACCCTAGCGACGTTGTACATTGTATTGATGATCAAACAGTTCCGGTCGAGGCAGCTAGAAAGAGTGCTCAGTGCACACATGTGCAGAGCAATATGCCCACACCGCAGGCAAAGGTCTTCTTTCGCCTGCGCTGTGTGTTCTGATGATCATGGTTTGCGGCCAAGCAGTTCAGAAGTGGACCTACAGGACTTCTAGTCTGGGTGACTGCGGACGTACATCATATTTCGCTTGTTGTGTCATACTATTAAATGTAAATATTTAGCGGTTACTTGTATGATATGGCTACGTTGGGGCGACACGTTTAAAAAAACCCTGAAGTCACTATAGCAGTTACTTGCACTGTGGAGCTCGTTTTGCTTTGCACCCCGTCGCCATTGAAGAGTCTCTTTGCGGTGCATTGTGTTGTTGTTGTTGTTGTTGTTGTTGTTGTTGTTGTTGTTGTTGTTGTTGTTGTTGTTGTTGTTGTTGTTGTTGTTGTTGTTGTTGTTGTTGTTGTTGTTGTGTTGGTGTAGTTTCCATCAACCTGTTTGACTACGTCGGCGCCATTCTCAGCTATGTCATCATTGCCATTCCCATACTGGCTGGAGCATATCCTGAGTCTCAACTTGCCTCCATCATCTCCAAGGTACGCAACACAGTCGTCATGGCGATAGGCATGCATTGAGAGCCTAACTGCCTTTAAATCTGTCCCATAAGGCCACCCTTTGTTAATTCATTGTTTAACGTCCTTTTTTTCACGAAAAGGTACGCGGGAGGGCGGAAAAAAACAAAAGCCCATTCCAAAAACTGGAAACCCCAATCAAACATTTTGACCAGTAAAGCACAACAGAACAACAAGGACAATCAAGGCTTGTTTGCTGCTACTTTAAGTTTCATGCTTACGCAATCATCAGGCAACATGAAGATCGGGTGCCGACCATGCCGGTATATATGCCAGGAGAGGGTGGTGTAAAAAGCTGTGTGAGACTGTGGGGGCTAGCGCAGTAGCGGTGATGTTTTAGGCAGGGGGCTGTGTGCAGAGTGTGTGGTTGTTGAAGGCAGGGGCTAGCAGTGCAGTGTGAGCGCGAAGTGTGTGGCTGGTGTGGGCAGGAGGTGGTGAACAATGCGTGTGGATGTTGTAGGCAGGAGGCTGTAGAGCTAGCAGTGTCAGCACTCTGGGTACATCCTTCGGTGACCAGTAAAGCATGTGATATATACAATATTTCTGGGTCTAACGGCACTTGCAGGCATAGAACAACACTCTTTGATGGTGCATTGGAGCACATGCCTGATGAATCCAACAAAACAGGTACATAGCATGGAGTTAGCATGTCATGAATTCATTACATCTGGATTTTTACTAGGGCACACACCGTACGATGTTTAAAAGCCAACAAAAAAAGAAAAAGAACACAAGACAAAGGCATGCCCGGGAGGCAAGATTATAAGTTTAAGGTCATGATCGGCACACGTGTGAAACTACACAATCATGTATTTACAACTTCGCATATTATTGGTACTACTACTTTCTTGTTTTTTTTCCGGTCGGAGGCAAAAAGGTACGCGGGCGCGGACGTTAAACAACGAAAAAAGAAAGGGTGGCCTAATGGGATTTTGCTAGCCACATATGACAGCAGAATGGTGCCATTTCTGTTGGTGGTGCTGGTGTGTGTGTGTGTGTGTGTGTGTGTGTGTGTGTGTGTGTGTGTGTGTGTGTGTGTGTGTATGATTGGGTGCGTGTGTGTGTGTGTGGGGGGGGGGGGGGTATGTGTGTGCGTGTGTGTGTGCGTGTGCGTGTGCGTGTGTGCGTGCTTACGTGCATTCTAGCTGTTGTCCACATGCACATGCTACTGACGACGTGTGGTATGACTGGACGTGCTCATTGCTGTGTTGTGCTGTGCTGCAGGCTTCCTTCCAGACAATCTACCTCATCTTCCAGTTCACGCAGCTGTTGGACATCAGCCGGAATTTCACCAACATTGCTGCCTATGTCCATCGGTAAGCTCTGCTCCGTGTTTTGTTTTGTGTGCTTGCATTGGCCTTGATCCTTGAAGGGTGGTGGCGTTCCTACGGATGAGGAAAACTCGCCCTTTGGCCGAGTCTCACGCGCGCTCGTGCGCGCGCGCGTGCGCGCGCGCAAACCGTGAATAATTTTGCATTGTCGCTTGTCAGTGCGGTCGGTGCCAGGGTTTGTTTCGTGAAAACT